GTGATGATATCTAGTTTATAGCTCGTTTGTTTAGTAAATTAATTTACAATTTGTAGAATAAAATCATCTAATGTTAATCATATTTGGATAGATTTGTGATTTGGAGGGTCATGGGAGAATGTTCATGGTGTTTTACAATATATGCCTTTACCCATGAATCTTCAACTAAAACTGTTATTAAAAAAGTTAACTTATGAAACTCTAATGTTACGTGTTGCAAAGAAATTGAATTTAGAGCCTCTAAGTGGATTAGGCTATCTTATCAGACAAAATGTAATGTTTATTTGTTAACCGACAATGAATATGTTGAACGATTCATTGCTTACATTAGTGTTTCGCAAGAAGATGATGTTACATTGTATATTGTTAAACCTAGAAGTAGTGAAGTTGGGTCAGTAGCGGGTAGTAATCAACTAAGTTCTTCAACCCCAGTTTATGGTGCTCACAATGTACAATATTGTTATCAACCTCAAAATTTAATGGTTCCACCACAATTTCATCACCAAGAAAATTTTGTTTCACCACATTTCCAATACCAAACACAATCTCAAAACCCACAACCTTTCCCTAATCCAAATCCCAATAAACTTTCAGCACTAAATTCCGATTTTCGTATTGACCAGTTAGACGATGATGAGCCAACAGAAAAAATTGTGAGTACTAGTCAGTATTCGAAATTTGATCTTGGTCAATACCCGGACTTTGATCTTGGTCAATACTCGGATTTTTATGATGTTTCAGAAGAAGAAACAAACCATGCGTGTAATGATTTTGATATTGGTCAATACCCGAATTTTGATGATGAAACAGTCGCTGCCGAGGAAGATGTTATTGATGATAATGAGGAGGGAAGTTACGACTGTGAATGAACATGTTGAACATCCATTCTGTAATTCATATAACCCTGAAGAAGAAAAAGAAGAAGTCCCCGAAGAACATAAAAAGAAGAAAATGCCACGGGGAGTATAACTGGAATATGCCAGAATTACTTCAGATACCGGAAGAAGAGTTGGTAAAGATAGCAGTTGATTGTTACACAAAAGTTATTCGTATCAAGAAAGATGATTGTTTTGATACAAATGAAGACTTGAAGATAGCTTTGTATACGAAATGTGTGGAAGATGGCTATCAACTAAAAGTTAACAAATCAAGCAAAGATCGTTTCGAAACAAAGTGTATGATTGACAAAAACTGTACGTGGCGTATGATTGCAAAGAGGATAAAAGATTGCGAAATGTTTCAAGTTAGGACTTTTATTGATAAACATACATGTTCAAGAACCCAAGTTTTTCCTCACCATAGACAGACAAACAAAAAGGTGTTGGGTGGTTTTCTAGCTGAGTTAATGTTTTTGAATGGCAGGGTATATCGAGGACATGAAATTATGACTGACATGAATGCTCAGTTCGAGATTAGTATCTCATATTCTCAAGCTTGGAGAGCCAAATGTTATGCCTTGGAATTGTTGAGGGGGTCGCCAGAAGCATCGTTTGCCCAACCGCCGGCTTATTGTCACAATTTAAAGCTGATAAATCCTGGGTTGGTAACACATATCAAAATAGATAGAGATAGACGCTTTGAGTTGTTGTTTATCGCCATTGGTGCTGCGGTTAGTAAATCAGTATAATTTTGTTGACTCATTTTTGTTAGTTACATGCATTTCACATTTAAATGATTATGTTTTTTGTGTATATTATTTTGTAGATTCGTTCGTTTATTACTTGCATGCGCCCAATTATTATAGTTGACGGAGCACATTTGAAAGGTCGATACCTTGGAGTAAACTTATTAGCAGTAGCCATGGATGCTAACAATGTGATACATCTAATAGCTTACGGGGTTGGCAAATATGAAACCTCTGATTCATGAACATAGTTTATGGGGCATCTTAGGGATTGCATAGGTCCTATTAGCAATCTGACAATCATATCCGATAGGGCAAACTCAATTGACAACGATGTTAGAAGGTGTTTCTCATATGCTTTTCATGGACTTTGTGGTGTTCATTTGTACAGAAATCTAAAATCAAGGTCCGCTGGTATAAAAAATCACAAATGGACGTACTGGAAGGCTGTAAAAGCTTATAGTGAAGTGGATTTTAATAAGCATATAAATTGTTTAAGATGTGTTTTGCCTCAATGTGCTCAAACACTAGAAGATGTCGGGTTTGAAATATGGTCAAGAGTACATCAACATGGAGCAAGATATGGTTTCATGACGTCTAATGGTGCAGAATCAATCAACGCTCTAAGTCGTCATTCCCGAAAATTACCCATTACTATGTTAATGGAGTTTTTTCGAGCCTCTATTCAACAGTGGTACTACAAGAAAAGAAACCATGCATGTATTATTTCTTTAAATTCATAACTTATCATATATTTTACTAAGTGTTATTTATTTAAATTTACAGGAACATTAGAACGTCGTGTTACACCATGAACTGAAAAAAAGATAACGAAACGTGTTGGGAAGTCAACGTCATGGAGAGTTGAAACATGTTCAAACACTTTGTTTGAAATATTGAATAATAACTTAAATGGGCTTGTCGATCTAAATGCAAAGATGTATAGTTGTATGAATGGAAAACATATGGTTATCCATGTGTCCATGTTATAAAAGTTGCTCTTCATCTAAACCAAGATGATTTAAGCGCATACGCTATGGATTGCTACACTACAGAAGTATATCGACAAACTTATGTCGAGATTTTCTACCCTATTCCACATCCTTCTGAGTGGGACATACCAGATGACTTACAAACAGTTTTGCCACCAGTCATGGACAACAGGCTACCTGATCGACTAAAAAATCACGATCGTATACCGTCTAAGGGTGAAGAGAAGAGGATATCGACATGTAGTCGGTGCAAGGAAAGTGGTCATACAAGGTTGACCTGTGGATCACCAGTGCCATCACAATCATCTTTTCCTCTACCAAAATATGGATCCTCATCAAAATCCAAAGCTCATATGGTGCCAAGCAAAAGGAAATCAAAATCGCAATCAAAATCAAAATCTCAATCACAACCGGCTTCACCTTATATAAACATTCCAGAAGAGGAACATATAGGTTTCGTGCAGGTTCAATGACAACATAAAGAGTAGTAGTTTATTCTTGAAACTTAAATTCGGAACACTGTGAAGTTAGTATTTGTCTTTGTTTTATGGTTGAAGTAATGCAATTCATTCAAGTTTCAATTTACAGAAGAAGAGTAGTTTTTTAAACTTAAATTCGCAATGCGAAAATGAAAATCGCAAAGCGAAGCTTAAATCGCGTTGCGATTTTCATTTTCGTGTTGCGAATTTCATTTTCGTGTTGCGAATTTAAGTTTCAAAAACTATTCTTTTGCAAATTGAAACTTGAATGAATTGCATTACTTCAACCAAAATACTAACTTCACAGGGTTAAAGACTAAACAATTTAGCAGTATTGGCAGCAACCGAATGAATTTACTAAACAATCTAAGTGAAATGGTTAATCTATATATTGAAATTACCAGTAAATTTATCATCAATTTAAATATGAAAAATCTAATGATAATACAAAAATTTTAAAATAAAAATAATTAAAAAAACTAACCCTCGGTGGTTGATTTTCTATTTGTGGCCGTGAATGGTTGTGAGGGTGACTCTGAGAGATAGAGATAGAGGGGGGTCGCCGGATATGGGAACGGATGTCGCCGGAGATGAGGACGGATGTCGCTGGAGAGAGTGAGAGATTGAAATGTGACTGAGTTGTGATTTAGGGTTTTAGGTTATGAGTTGCGATTATATTGTTTACATTTGTGTTGTGAAATTAATATTGTGTTTCGAATTTGAAAATAAAATTCGCGTTGCGAAAATAAACGCGCTTTGTGAATTTGACTTATGTATTGCGAATTACAAATCAGCGTTGCAATTTACATATTCGTGTTACGAATTACATATTTGTGTTACGAATTACATATTCGCGTTGCGGAAAAGAAATTCGAGTTGAGAATTTCAAAACTGAGTTGCGAAATTGGAGTTCGCGTTGCGAATTTGTTGGTCATTTTCGCAAATCCAAAAAAAGTTGGTTAAAATCGTATATTATAAGGCATTTTCGGTCACTGAAGTTATTTTCTCTAAAAAAATGTCTACATTCACATGCATTGCATCCAATAATAAAATATAAAAAATGAATTAGTGATGTAATTAATATAATAATAATTTCCTTAAAATTTATAAAATTCTATCAATTTAATTTTAATTTGAAATAATTTAATAAGTTTAATTTCATATAGAAAGTTCTATTAATTTAATTTTTTATCTAAAATACGTTATACTATTTTTTTATTACTTTTACAATATCATAATAACTTAATAGTACACTACAGTAAAATTGTTCTGCAGTGGCTTTTTTGCTGCATTATGAAATAAAACGCCACAAAATTTTAACAAAAAGCGGTTTTTACGAGTAAAACGCCACAAAACAAAGATATTAGCTACATTTTTACTAAAACCGCCGCGATTGACTCTTACAAGGCGGCGTTTTTGTAATAAACGCTGCAGTAGTCATGCACCTTAGCGGTGTTTTTGTAACAAATGTTGCAATAGTCATGCACTTTAGCAACGTTTTTATAAACGCCACAATAATCTTGTGCTTTAGTGGCGTTTTTTTATAAACGTTGCAATAGTCATGCACTTTGTGGCGTTTTTGGAATAAACGTCGCAATAGTCATGCACTTTAGTGGCGTTTAGTCATACACCTTTGCGGCATTTTTTATAAACACTACACTAGTCATGCACTTTAGCAACGTTTTTGTAATAAACGCAATAATAATCATGAACTTAGTGGCATTTGTTACAAAAATGCAGCTATAGCATGCACCTTAGCGACGTTTTTGTAATAAACGCCGCAATTGTATGATCCTAATTGTTTTTATTCCCATTTTTTCTATTTTTCCTCTAACACCCAACCATCACAGTGAAGCCACCACCGTGCAGCCATCACCGTGCAGCCATCACCACAATCGCAACATCATGCCGCCGCTGTCGGTTCGCTTCACACGGAAGATTAAAAGCAACACGAGATTGGGTTTGAGAGTTAAAGCTTATAATTCTTCCAAGAGCGATGATGGGTCTAAACCCAACGGTGATTCCAAGCCTCCTAATGGCAGTCTGGTAATATCTCTCTCTTTCATGGGTCTGTTTTCTTGTATGGTGTTTTATGTATGTTGGTTTTAACTTTTAAGTGTGTATTTTTTATGAAGAAAAATCAGCAGCCTAAGACCAGGCGAGAGATTCTATTGGAGTATGTGAAAAATGTGCAGCCGGAGTTCATGGAATTGTTCGTGAAACGAGCTCCTCAACAGGTTTCATTTTTTTTTTCTTTCTAAAAGGGTTATAATTTCTTAGGCTCTGGAAATGAAATGAAACTGAAATTTGAGAAAAAACAGTTTCCCAAGTTGTTGAGGCAATGCGGCAAACAGTGACGAACATGATAGGAACACTGCCCCCGCAATTCTTTGCTGTGACAGTCACCACTGTAAGCATATTGTGATAATAGATGTTCTTTGTTTCGATTTTGACTCGGATTCTTAGTGTTATTCAACTAAGCACCTGTTGGTTTAGACAATCATTGGGAGCTCTTTAATTTCACTTTAGATTGCTGAGATCTTGTAAAACTAATGTATAATGTTATGACTACTTTTAAGAATACAAAGTATGATCTTCAGTTATATTTTGGTCATGTTTGTCAGTGTTATTGAACTTGACCATTGGGAGCTCTTCCTGAGGTGCAAGAGAAAAAGGTATGCGTTTTCCCCCCTTTTGCGTTGCATTTTGAAAGAAACCAAGATGGTAGCTATTCTGTCGGGGAGAAATCTCACATTGATATATATGACATATGTCATTTTAGTGATATAAAAGCATGAACCAATTTGTGTCTATTCAAAGCATACCTGTTGTGATTAATTTCTATTCTTTAAATCATTGAATCCTATCAAGTTATCTTTGCCATCTTTTACTCCATGGAGAGGTATTTTGCTCAGTTTGATAAGTTAACCTGAGGGCCACTTCTTAGTATAGCTTTGTTTGAAGTGATCAACAATGCATGATTTGGTTTCTTGTATTTCTTGTTAAAATGTTTGGTGACAATTACTCGTTGAGATCTTTGATTTCCTGCACACTGCTCTCTATAAAACTTAAATGATTAATTATTCTTACACTTAGGGAATCAAACAGTGTGATTATTATTTGAGAGCTTTAGTTAGGAAGCTCTTGAACTAAAATTTATTTTTGAAATGTAATAATACTCTCCCAATATCTTAGTTGTCAGCTATAGGTTCCTTAGATTATATGGTGATCTGTTCTTATATTCTTATTATGCTGGATTTTATCAATTTTGCTTTTAATTTTTTTGCACATAAATGCCATTTACGTTCTGGTCATATATATAGAAATCTTTATTCCATGTTGGATAAGTGCCATGAGCCCATGACCACACATTGAGCTTGTCTATTTATGCTCTATGATTGTGTTTCTGTAATGTTGGAAGATGACAATATCACTGATTATGTTATACTCTTTCAGGGTTTACTGATGATACTCCTCGTTACTACCATTGAAACCTTGGTCCTTATGGCCGGCATAGAGATGCTGATGAGAGGCCTGAGCTTTGTAAAGGAACAATTGAACTTGTTGCTTCAAAAGAGTACATGGTTTGTTGAAATGTATAAATTCGTAAATTTCAAATTGATACATATTTATTTCTACTTTATTTAACTCTGGTTACATCTCTTTCTCTTTTTTCTTAAATGCTTTCGTAGAAATTTTTAAAGCACACATCTTTGGATAATGTATAGATAACATAATTACTTAACATTTGGTTAGAACATGCCTTAGAGGCGTTTTGTGAATAAAAATGCCACGACAAGTCATGACTATTAACGACGTTTGGGTGAAAATGATTACTTAACATTTGGTTATAACATGCCTTAGAGGCGTTTTGTGAATAAAAATGCCACGACAAGTCATGACTATTAACGATGTTTGGGTGAAAAATGATTACTTAACATTTGGTTATAACATGCCTTAGAGACGTTTGGGTGAAATTTATTTTACAAACACCGCTAAATGACTTAACCTATTGCGGCGTTTGTAAAATAAATGCCGCAAAAAAACATAACCTTTAGCGGCATTTAAAGTTCACCAACGCCGTAAATTTTTGCGGTGTTTTTTTTTGCGTTAGAAGGGTTTTTAGCGTCGCTTAAAAATGCCGCTGTATGACTAAAAAACGCCGCTAAAAACTTAGTTTGCTGTAGTGGCAACTTATTGTTGCTTTATGATAAAATGAAGTTTTTCAATTATTGCTTTGACTTGGACTCCTTCCATATGATATTATCACAAAAAATTAAATTTATAATTTTTTTAAATACAATAGCTTTAATTTATTGAATTATTTAGAATTAAGATCAAATTAATAGATTATACTATGTTAAATTAGATGTTTGTTTCAGTTTTAATAACTAATGATTTATTTGTAATAATATTTTAATGGTGAGTGAAATTGTAATTTTTAGAAGAAGAAAAATGTGATCCGTTTATAACCAAACTAATATTTGAGTGAATTGTACGAACCAACTTACCTCAGTGATTGAGCGTTCATTGTCAAAGAATTGATAGTATTTAGAACTGATAATACTTTAATCACTTTAATTTAATTCAAAAAATAATAATATTGAAGTGAATTGGTTGTATTTTACCATTCCCTCCTACACAGACTGCACCTAACGGTCATTTGAAGTCTGGTAGTTGATGCTTTGAACTTGAAAGAGAAAAACAACTGGAAAGAAGCACCCGATTTTCCAAGAGACCGAACCACAGAGCGATAAACATGCTTCAACTTGTCCAAATAAAGTCTATCCAAAACAAAGATATTTAATTCTTCACCGTCCCTTCAAATCTTCGACTTCCCTACCAACAACAATCAACTTGTTTTTTCAACCATCTTTCTTTTGGGGGCTCATAATCTCATGTACTGTACTCACAAACCCTATTCTCCATCCATTTCTATTCATACCACCCCATTTTGCTCCCATGGGGAGCTTCAAATTATTCTGATTTTTCAGTTTCGGAACCCAGTTTGAGTCCCTCCCTTCTTCCAACCCTGTTCATGAAAGCCTTGTCAATGGTAGTAATAGTAATAGTAATACCGATCATCGCCACCGTGATGGGTTCTTCTCGAATTCGGTTTTTGGGTTTCTCCGGCGTTTTAAGTCGAGAGGTGAGTTGTCATCCCCATTATGGCCTAATAGTAGTTTTAATTTTGATTTTCTTACTTCGGGCTATTTGTTTGAGATATTTAGTGAAGACCGATGGGGCTTCAAGGACAGAAGAAGAGAAGGTTTATTCTTGGTTATATGCTTTGGCCAGAACAGAAATATATTTGGCTTTCGAATACGTTCGATCCACCGAAAGAGGTTAGCTCGATTTTTTATCGAATCGATGCCTGTAAATCTGTTTGATCAATTCACCAATTTTGTGAGGGATAATGGATACTTTGGTTTTGAGTAGGCTTGAGCTTTACTGAAGCTGAGAGGAGACTGAAGGAAAAGGCTCAAACATTCCTCTTGAATACACATTTCCTAGCTCATGGCAGCTTCTGTGGAACGCCTTTTTTCATCCTTTCAACATCATTCTTATTGTGTTGTCAGCACTCTCATACATAACCAGTGATAATCCAAATGGATGCATCATGCTTGTATTGGTTTTCATTAGTGTCTCCCTTCGATTCTATCAGGTGCTTCCTGTTTTAAGTTTCTCAATCATCCACGAATTCGGCTTCAAACACGGTTTTATGTAACTATAACTTCTATGCAACATCCAGGAATATTGCAGTTCAAAAGCAGCAATGCAACTTTCAGAATACGTAAGATGTCCAGTTAAAGTTCAAAGATGTGTGGGGAGAGAGGTTGAGACCGAAATGATCGTTCAAGTCGATCAAAGAGATGTTGTTCCGGGAGACATAGTCATTTTCGAGCCCGGGGACCTTTTCCCTGGTGACGTAAGACTATTAACTTCCAAACACCTAGTTGTAAGGTACAACAGCCTTCAAAGTTTCCGCTTTCTTTGTATCAAGAATCAAGATTTGAATGTATTTTTCCTTTTGCTTACAACCTTGCTTCTTCGACAGTCAGTCCTCGTTAACTGGAGAATCTTGGCCAACTGAAAAAACAGCTGATGTCAGAGAAGATAGAAGCACTCTTCTGCTAGAATTAAAGAACATTTGCTTCATGGTACTCTTTTGTTCCTTCTTTTGTTTCATCATGAAAAATGACAGGTGATTGAATCATTTGCGTTTTTTAATATTAAACAAGTATGGGAGGAACTTCGGTTTAGCTAGCATCGTACCGTTATCCACTAGTACGTATGTAACCGAGTAATAAGCTGAGGTATATACCGTTGCAATTAATATTTCAGGGGACAAATGTGGTATCAGGTACCGGAACTGGTTTGGTTGTCTCCACTGGACGCAAGACCTACATAAACACCATATTTTCAACTATTGAAAACAAAAACCAGCAGATAGTTTCGAGAAGGGTATTCGGAAGATATCGTATGTGCTCGTTGGCGTAATGCTTCTTGTAGTCACAATCATGATACTGGTGGAGTACTTTACCTTCCATGATTTGAGTGAGAGTACTCTTTTCGGGATATCGGTTGCATGCGCCCTTACTCCTTGAAGATACTAATTTTTTTTACCCATTTGTTTTTTTTATATTATTATTATTAAATAATTACAAATATCATTGCAGGCCCAAAACCCAGATCGACCCAATTACAAGAAAACTCAAACCGGCCTAACAAAAATCTTAAAACCTATTTAGGGTTTGTATCTAATACCCCAACCGCCTCTCTTTGTCCACCGTTGGATCTGGCTTAGATCCAAACGGTCCAAGATGATCCTAGCAGAAACCCTAGGGTTATGATACCCTAGGGGCACGCGGTCGCCGCCTTCACTGCCATTGCTCCACATCTCCACCAACCGCTGCCACGACATCCGAACAAAGGCTCCAGAAGCGCTGCCAGCTGCACACATGTCACCGTTTTTCGGTGAGTCACCACAAGTTTGGTGACTCACCAAAACTGCTCTGTGAGACCGATCCGAAGTCATCACCGGTGGTGGCTATAACAGCCACTGAGCCCCCTGCCAACAAAGAGACACGAAGAGAGCAACGAACCAAAACAAAATAATACACCCACAAGCAACCACAACAGCCAATAGTGAATCAAAAGAAGTAAAGAGACTCACCGAGAAGAAACACGGCCACCGGAGAACCCCTGCGCCTCCACGTATTGCTGAAAAATTAAAATCCCGAAGGTAGTTTTCTTAGATCTAGGAAATAATAAGCGGTTTTAGAAAAAAATAGTGCCAGATTCGGCTTTAGGGAGTCGGGATCTATTTATTAGGGAGATTTGGAAATTCCGGCCACCATTCACGGTTATGGGTAAAATATGTTAGGGCTTTTGTGTAATTTCGCTTATGGGTAAAATATACTCATGGCCATCACAACTTTGAAATTTTATGTTTTAGTCACTGAATCAAATTTTTGATCTTTTTAATTCGGTATATGAATTTTAATTCCTCTATAATTTGGTCACTAACATAATTATATATATTTTAGGTAAAATAACCGAATTAGCCATTATGATTTTAATAATTATGATTTTAATCAAACAACATGTTTTAATTTGTTTCAATTTGTTGTTCAAATTTTATATAATTTTATTTTAGTCCCTAAATTAAATAAATGAAAAATAGAATGTTTAATCCCTGTAATTTTAAATAATTAATTATGAATTAGGTATTTAATTTTAGTATGTTATAATTTAGTCATTAATTTTATTTTCATTTATTTTTAATTACAAGTTTTATTGCTTTTATATTTTAAATATATAGTTTTAAATTTCTTTATTTTAGTCACTGTTTAGTTATAATTTTATATGTTTATTTTCAATATATTTAATTATTATTATTATAAATATATATATATATATATATAAATTTATTTTTTTAATCCTATTTATAATTTTAATTTTATAAATAATTTTTAAGAAAAATAATTACATTTTAATATATATTTATTTTTCAATATTAAGAAATGACAGTCTTAAAGCAATTGGATGTTCATTTTCTGATATTTTTAAATAAATAAATATCTTAATTTTATAAATTATATCTATAGATAAATGTTTTAATATTTATTTATTTTTAATATTAAGAAAAGAGCTGTCTTAAAGCACCTAGAAGCCCTTTTCTGATATTTCTAAATAAATAAATATCTTATATCTTATTTATATATATATTAATAAATTTTCTTAAAATTATAGTAATAAATTTGAAATAACAGGATTATAATTAAATATATCTTCAAATTTTTAAATTTCTAATAATAGAGACAATTTATAATTAATGAGTACCAATTTTGGGCGTTATAGGGGTGCTAATCCTTCCCTAAACGTAATCGATCACGAATCCATTCTTTATTAAATTTTTTTGGTTATACGCAAATCAGTTTATCTTTTAAATTATGTTTTCTTGAAAACTATTTTAAAAGATTGTTTTTAGGTATTTGACCTACCTAACCCAAAAAGGTCAATGGCGACTCCCAAAATATTTTTTAAATCAAAAATCATTTATTTATTCATTTTAGTTTTCCCGTCAAGTAAAAATTTTTCATGCCCGGGCGAAATCCGGTTACGACAGCTTGGCGACTCCGCTGGGGACCGATCAAACTTTAAAACCAATTATAAGTTGTCTCTATTAATTATAAATTAAAAATTCAAGTTATACTTCTTTTTTTAAAATTTTTATATATACTTATTATTTTCATATATTTATATATATTATTTTTTATTAATGTTTTTAGTTTTATTTTCAGTTATTTAATTTATATTTATTTGTTTGTCAGAGGTTTAAACATTTCTCCTCACACACAACACTTGCATAACATAAGCTTTATAATCAAGCTTGTCCCTTTTAAGTGGGAGTGAAAGCGACGTCTTCGTGAGAATTTATTCTCTGTGTCAGACCTAGTAAGTAGTTTTCAGGGTTCATATGCTCTATGTCTTCGTGAGAATTTATTCTCCGTGTCAGGCATAGTAAAGTGTATTCCCTCAAATTGAACTTGATCCACTTTAGTCTTTAATGAACTAGGATTGAGGGTTAGCAGTCCAAAGGGGCACTAACAAGGACAATTCGGGTAACTTTACTCTTAGAACTAAAACTCTGCATATAGTAAACCCTAGAAACTCTTCCGATCTGAAGCCATGCCGAAATTTTGTCCAAAATAGGTATACACAAAAGAGAAATGAATTCTAACTTTTTCCTTTTAATTTATTTATTTATTTTTTGTTAAATAAATTGCATATGAATTTAGATTATTTAAATTATGCTATGTAAAAAGCATGTTAAATAGAAATATCTGGGTAGATATTAAATTTAAATTTTTTTCTTCCTTATTATTTGAACTAATTCATTTCTTTTTATGTTTTCTTTATTTTTGTTTGCATATCATCATGAAGGATTAAAGGTATTGATCTTCGAGTTAATCGTCTCATTGGAAAACCTTCATCTATAGATAAAAAATGTTCAAATCAAATAGTTCCAAACTCAGAAGTAAGACAATAGTCTGAAGACTTATAAAGACAAGGGGGAGATAGTCTGCAGGATGATTATGTACCTGAGTTAGCAAGTTATGCTCCGATTTCTCTAAAACAAATGATATGCAAGATTTGCGAGGCATTTGGGAAAGTTTGGATTCAAATAGAAAGCTGCAGTTCTATCAGTCTTACGGGTACATCCCTTATTTGATCTATGTCGAGGTTGATGATGACTTACTTCGAGCTCTAATTCAATTCTGGAATCCTGGTTATAATTGCTTCACTTTCAATAAGGAGGACTTGGTTCCTACTATTGAAGAGTACACAACTTTGCTACATATAGAAGGGGCTTTCGAGAATCAAATTTATTCAAGGTCAGTTAAAACTCAACCTTTTCGAGTTAAGTTAGCAAAGATTGCAGGAGTACGAGAGGAATGGGTAGTATCCCGCACAAAACAAAAGGGCGAGGGCGAAGGCATTGCTTGGACCAATATCAAAGAAATTATTCAGAGTCATCCAGATGATAAAGTACGATTTGATCTTTTTGCTCTGGGTATATATGGTATGGTCATCTTCCCGAAAGTATTGGAATACATTGAGGCTGCAGTAGTAGATTTGTTCGAGCAGCTATTAAAAAGGGTCAATCATGCTTCTACAATTCTAGTAGAGACTTTTCGATCGTTAAGCGCTTGCAGAAGGCTAGGAGGTGGATGATTTTTGGGATGTGCACCATTGTTATATGTATGGATCCGTAGTCATTTTTGGAGGACAGAAAAGGTTTTGTACCGTCGCTTTAGTACGGAGTACTCACCGTTGAAAGAGTTTCTGGAGCAAGAATGGCCGAAAGAAGTCACGAAAGATATGTGGATCAATGCCCTTCGAAATATACAAAGCGATGATATCGTTTGGCGTGCCTCATGGCAAATTCAAAGGGAATTATTTTACAAATGTGGTGATTACAACTGGGTGATGCTTCTAAGTTTGTGGGAAGGAATCGGATATGCACCACTTCTAGTTATAAGGTAGTACGAGGGTTGTCAATTTGTTCCTGTTACTGTTGGATTACATACGACTGAGTTCGCATTTCATAGCAAAAATTACAAAAGAAACATCATGGATGTCGTTACAGCTTGGAAAACAACTTTCTGTATTCAAGCCAAAGCAGCGAAGGTAATGTTAACTCCTGATTATGAGGAATGGAGGTCTGTCGGGAAAAATGAAAATATTCCTCTACCAGATCAAAATAAGGATATCTCTATGGAAGATCGCATTCGATCAATTCCATCAGAGATTGAAATCTTAAGAGCTGAGTTTGAAGCAGAAAGAGAAGGATGGTCGAAAGAGTTAGAACAAATGAGACGAGATAAAGCTATGCTGGGCGTTGATGTTGACTTTTATTCAGCACAATGTGCAATACTGAGGGAAAACAAAGAAAAAATTGATGGTGAGTTCAGAACGTTAAAGAAGAATTACCATGAGCTACACAAATCCCGGAAATCTTTAGGATCGAACAGAGCCACAGTACAGATGACCAAAGAGTTGAATATCAAGAAATACCGAGTTGAAGATTTGAAAGGAAAGAATAGTCGTTTACTCAAAAGCCTTGAGAAAGGAAAGCAGAAAATGGATGATCTAGAGGTTGACAAAAGGGAGCGAATTATGAAACACAAAGCCGAAAATCGCGAGATTATGAATGAAATGCAGAAGGAAAGAGATCGAGTTAAAGAATTAGAAGAGATGAAGAACGACATGCTTGAGAGATTTGAGGATGAGAAAAACACCATGTTTAAGGGATTTGAATCTGAAATGAACAATCTAATTGTCGAACTTAAAGTTAGGGGCCAAAGGATTGAAGAGTTCGATATTGAAAAAGAAAAATGGAAGTTGGAGAGGAAGAATTTCAACACCAGACTTGAAGTAGAGCAAGAAATAGCCAGTACTTGGATGGAACGATGTAGAAACAAGAATGTGCAAATCCAGAAAACTAGTCAAAGAACATAAGAAGCAACAATAAAACTTGAAGAGGATTTGGATCAGTCTAGAAACAAAAACTTAGAGTTTAATGCTTACATTTT